CTCAGATTCAGCTTGGCCATCTAGTATCTCTTCTCAGTCCTTTTTTTAAAAAAGTAGGCTGCTTTCCTGTTTTCACATGGTTCCTCAGAACCTCTCCCCATAACCTTGCCTCTTGTCTTCAGCACTTCAGACAATCTCCTCCTTTAGGAAACTCAAGAAATTAGGAACTATGAGCAACTATTCCTGTTTCCTCATCTGTTATTTGAAGAGTAGAAACTGAATAAGTTGATTTTTAAAGTCCCTATAAACTGGTAAAATAAATTATGGCCCAATAAATATTATTGTCTTTAAAAAATGAGGATATAGACTGAACCCAAAGGTATTCTACTGATTAAAGAAGGAAGGCAACAAATAGTATTTATAGTGTGTTATCAACAGAGGAAAAGCCAGAAAAAATAATCTATATATTTTGTAAATATGATAATAGTGGGTGTCTGATAGGACGGAACGGAAATGGAGACTTTCCACTCTCAACTTTTTCTTCTATTTAAATTTTGAGCCTTGTGAATATAGTATCTATTCAAAACATAACATAATTAAAAACAAAGAAAATGAAGTTTTTATTAGTTCAAATATAAGAAGTACATCTGTCTCTGGTAATAATTCATCCTGTTTATTAATCATTGGTTTTAAAAGCACATGGCCAAACAAAGAGGGAGAAAACTACATCCGAATGGGGAGTTAAGGCTGGAGAAGGAGTATCTGCTGCTATTTTAGCCTCCTCTACCAGCCCTCACTTCAGTCAAATGCAAGGTATAAAACTCCTTTGCCCCTTTTCCTTGTCATTGTAAGTTGCCTGTAAAACCCTGGGAAAAATCTCAAAAACATGCATCTTCTCTCCTGTATTTACCAAGGAGACTTCTGGAAGGTTCTGAGAGGCTCCTAGTTCTCAGATATATATTGGTTCTCCTGGAAATCTCAGGGCAAAGCAGAGGCAGAGCATAGGGAAGGGGTCAGCATTTTTCTTCTGTAAAGGGCCAGGTAGTAAATATTTCAGACTTTGCAGGCCACACAGTCCCTGTCACTACTACTCACGCAGCTACTGCACTCTGCCTTATGGCATGAAAGCAGCCACAGACAGTACTCGCTCACAAACAAATGGGCATGGCTATGTTCCAACAG